AAACGAGGATGCTTCCAATTACTTTGACCCTTATAGTCGTAGTATTTGTCGTTCTTCTTTTTATTAATGTGGGGTTCTGATTGTTGTGGAAAGTCCGTCTACATCCTTGGCTGTGGCAATCGAAGCGCTTTCGATGTGTGACCCAGCTGTTGTTGCCTTGATTCCCAAAAAAAATATCGCTGCCGTTTAAGTGACAATACTCTCGGCTACTGTACTATGGGCAATTCGTATGTATTTTTGGCAAAAATTTTAATTTTTAAGCTGTTTGGCAATTTACACAACAGCACAATGTAATATGCAATCAGTAATTGCCTTTTGCCTTTTCAGTTCGAATAAATATATTGCAAATATTTAAAAGCGTACAGGAAAATAAAATTAAACTTTAACTTACAGTAAAATGTATCAGCTTTTGTTTATCAATACATAGATTTGGCGAATATATCATTTGCAGGAATCCCCCTAGTATTATATATTATTCGCGGTAAACGGGGACAGACATAACAGATGCACCTTAAAAGTAAAAATTAATTAACTTAATGTTGCAGTTGAAGAGGCAACTTGTTGCTTGTCATTTCAAACTTTTTGCTACATAAAATTTCATAAGTAGACACAGATAATGCTTGTAATGTTGAAAATTTGTGCAAAATTTATGAGGAAATCGCGTAATATTACCCAAAGTCCACTGTAAATACTTGGGTATGTACATTGTGGGTTACATATACATAAGAAGACTTTTTGCATGTTTTTCCTGACGCTGCAAATATTCCGAGCACAACTGGTCAACGCCAGTAAATAGTGAACGACGCACAGTGGCCGTGTGGGCGCAATTCACGAATACACGATATCGAAGGGTGTCGCATGCCGTCAGCGATGCCAACTCAGCTATTTTCTAGCTAAGTTTGGCCATTTTCAGAGGTTGCTAGCCGGAAATTGCAGGCATTACAGGTACGTGATATTCTAGATATTTTTAAGCGAGTTGTATGCCAAAAAAAAAATATTTTTTACCCAATACATTGAATCTTGGAGGAATCTTAACAGAGAATTGTGTTTTTTAATGATAATTACAACTAACTATAAACAATTTACAGTTAAGCTAACCAGCTAATTCAAAGGAAACTAGACAAACAGAGACAGCTCTTTGCCATTTTGAACATAGAGAAAACAACTAATTTACTAATTGAATTTAGCTACAACAACATTAGATTTAGATATTTTTTGTAGTGCCGATTGGCAGCACTAATTCGAAGCCGAATGTCGGGCCGGAAAATTGTTAAATTGGCATTCATAAAAAAGCATATGAATGTACATATGTACAAATGTGTGTAACATCTCGGCGCATATTCGCGTTTAAGAACACATACATACATACATACATACATATGTTGAAAAATGCATATATATTGTTGTATGTATATACATGTGTACACACATAAATGTGCATACTATATGCAAAAATGTATAATTTCTGTCAAACAAAAATATTTAATGTCATGTATTTACGTACGCATTCGCATCTTTAAATATACAATGTATGTTTGTGCACACAAACATAATACATTGATTATTTTCAAAATATATTTACATCTATGCAAGCACACACATACCCAACAATACTTTAATATATATATTTATATTAATTCGACCACTACGAATTGTACGAGTGCCCTGAAGCAAACCACGACTGTGCAATACTCTGTTCACATTGTAATTACCGAGTGTCAGTAAAAAAGTGTCCTTCTTGATTAGTTCAACTGAATCTGTAATTGGCGGAAATATTCTGTTGTGATTGGCAGTCGAGGGGTAGTTTCGATTAGTACGTGTCGAATTGCCAAATTTTATGACAATTAAGAGTGTTGTGCATTCCAATAACAGCCGTAAAAAAGCGATTGTCGAAACAATAATGCTTTAAGCCATGTGCAGGATGCGAGACTTGAAATTTGGAAGGTATATCATTGCAGTGCATTTAATGATCAAGATTAGTAATTCGATCCGATTGCATTCAGTGTAAGTTCTTTACAGCTAGAGTTGCACAGCATCTTAGAGTTCCCAGAACCTTTTTTGGATTCATCTCCCTGTTACAGATAAACCATCTTCTTTGAAGCTGTAGCCGTGTGCTTTGGTAAACACACACTGACTTGTATGACATATCGTATCTTGTGCTTTGTGCAATGAAGATCTTTCAAAGACTTATAACAGAAGTTCGGCGCTGGCTGCAGGGTATTTGTTAGTCAGGCACTGCTGACCAGAGCACTCTCACTTGATTTTGGTTTCATGTTTGCGCACTCACACATGAAAATTATAAAAGGAAATGACACACGCCAGCTGCAAAAAAAAAGAAGATAAATAAATTAATAAATAAAAAACATCGCTTTCTTCAGCTTTAGAATCTTCATCAAGACTTATTTTAAATTATTTTAGACTTGAAATTTGTTTATGGCTTCGTTTTTAAAACTTGAATAAATTAAATGTTTTAAATGTTGCCATTTATTATGCCTTTCTAGAGAATATTACAATTTTGTCACGAAATGTGTGACAGCCGAGTTGATATGTCCGTCTCTGGTCTCTCATTAAGTTCTTATGTTCCTATGTATCTTACATATTCTCAAGATATTATCAAAATACTTTCGATATATGAGATAGCTGTCATTGGAACGATCGGTCAAAAATTAATTTCTTTCCTTCTCGCTGTGATATTTAAGTAGATATGTGTACAGATAGTTTTCACAATGTCTCAAATATTTCCCTGTCTAAGAGATATGACACTTACTTGAACGGCTGTCAAAATGGAATCCTTTAAGGACTTTAACTGGATAGAAAATACTTCTAGTCAAATGCCTCGCTCAAAAAGCCATTAGAGTGCAACATTTGGCGACACTCTTAAGTGAAAAGTGTTTTTATCGTTTTAAGTACGGGAAATGACTTGCAAAATAGTTAACAAAATGCAATTAAAATACTGCAATTATAATTATAATTGGGCGCAACAAAACGGAACATAGCAATCAGAAGGCAGTCAAAAAGTCCAGCGAGCCACCACGCTGGCGATGATTGTGACTGTCGGAAAGGTTACGAAAAAAAAAAAAAAACACCGTAGGCCAAGTTAATCTGAAAAGCGTTAATTGCTGCCAAGCTTGAATGAGCAACAGACAACAATACAATTATTCCAAGCGGTGCAACTGTAGCTTAGAGCGGCTAGAGGAAGCGAAGTTCTTAAAGCGCCAACAAATTATTTTCCAACAATTGTGCTCTAGTCCGGAGTGTCCGACTTGCAGATACTCTAAAATCTAAGATGTTACTGTTCAAAATGAAAGTTGCTGCGGTTTTAGAATCTGCTAGTCGGTCGATTTTGTTTCTTTAACATCAATAGGTGTGTCGATCTATGTCCTATGTCTGTCTTTCTGTGCAGGGAAAGAGACTTGCACTTTTAAATGTGGGTCCTGACGCAGAGAATATACCTAATCGAGGCAGAAATGTCTCCTAGATAAATAACTATACATTAGAAGCCTGATGACAACCTCGTCGGCTGGATCAAGCATATATTCAATTTATAGGGGGGAAGATGCATTCTTCAGCCTGCTAAGTCCACATGCAAAAAACTTGTGTAATCATTTAAATGGGTTCAGGGATTAAAAATACAGAATTTAGGTTTTTTTCCATTATTGTACCAGTTTGATTACTGATAAGCTAATATAATTGTCGAATTGCGTGGGTTGAAACTGTCAAGTTTCAATTCAAAAGATATATATTTGGGTATCAAAGCAGCCAACTTAAAGCTGATGTAACGCTGTGAATGAAATATTTTGCAGTTGATACGGTTGGACCCTATTGCAATTTTCTTACTAGTATTCTATCGCTTTCGTCTGGTTTGCACTCCCTCCGATACCAGCACAACACAGAGAGCCGTATTTCATAATCCTCTTGGGAGCTCAGATTGTTTTTGCTCGGCCACGAAAAGACCGCCGACATTCTAATCGCTAAGCAGTGCACACAGCGTGCAGCCGGTTTCTTCGCTTGCCTTTTTGCATACTGTTGGGATTGATTTTATACCCTGTACTTATTGAGAACGGGTAAGGAAGAGTATAATGTTACTTAGTATGTACCGCTCGCAAATAAACAATCCTTTAAGGTGTAATTTTGTTCAATCTGTAAACGATAAGTCACAACATCGTAAGTCACTATTAGAGTAAAAGTAATTTGAACATATCTTTTAAAAATAAATACAAAATATAAAAAATTATAAATAAATAATATTACTTTTACATACCATTACATTACAAATTGAAAATTTTCATCCTATGATTTTTGACCCCAAATTTATAAAGAAACAAAGTAAAAAATGTTATATTTGAATCGGAATCACTTTAAGCGTATATGTACTGTTTTCGACGAGACGGCAATGCTTAGCAGGGTATCTTCTACTCGGCTCACGAACTTCGCATCGTTGTTCCTTTTCTGTCTGCTTCCCATTTGTGGGTTTCTTTAATTCTTTTTCCAATTGGCTTGTTGATAACACATGGCGACAATTGGAAAGTGATGTGCCAACATTCGGCTCAGTAGGAATGAAAATTGTCAACTGGAGCAAACATTTAACAAAGCCATAAGTTTACTTTTTGCCTATTTCATTCATGTTTAAAATATTTTTGGTATAGTTTAAACATTAGAAGCTGCTTTTCTTGTTATACCCTGATCCCATTAAAAATATGGTAAAAAGGGTATAATGTATTTGTGGAAATGTATGTAACAGGCAGAAGGAAGCATTTCCGATCCCATAAAGTATATATATTCTTGATTAGCATCAATAGCCTAGTCAACCATGAGCCTATAAGAGCTAGAGACTTGAAATTTCAGCTGTAGGTCCTTCAAGATCGAGTTTGCTTCCATAGATAGATAGAATAGAAATATTTATGTTAAAAAAAGATTTGATAATAAGCAAGCTTTGCGAAATTCGAAAATTTGTAAATTTTAAAAATAAGGAGACATAAATTCATTTCTATTCCTTTGTGGAAGTTGTTCACGTCGCAAAACAAAAAAAAATTAGAAATAATCAAAATACGAGCAGGTGATTAAAAAAAAGGGAATCGCGACTTTTTATAATTATTTTTTACGGTAAGCATTTAGAGCACCTGCCTATAATTTCTTCAAGTGCATTCAATACGTAGATATTTCATGTTGAAGCGAACTGAAGATAAATCGAGTGAAAAACGGGCAGTTGTCGCCGTGCCGAAGCGCCTGGCTTTCGAAAGGGCAAAAGTGGACGCCACTTCACGTATTTCGTTGATAAATCGTGATTATAGATTCATGAAGACCATGGACCGATGATGGACCGTCTGCAAGGTGCCCAACGCGGTTCAGTTTCCTCGATTTCTGAATCGAAGATAACGAGTTCTGGTAACTCTTCATTCGAAATGACGTTTGAAATGAATCGAAAGTTGTTCGATGAGTAAAAAATTATACATATCGCGTTTTTTCAAGCTTAGAAATATATATACATTTTCCTGCTTGGCTTGATGTTCGTGGCACGACAGAACTCCTCCATCTCTTGCGAGGCAGCTTGCTGCAGCAACTTGCCTTGCAAGAGATGGAGGAGTTTTGTCGTGCCACGAACATCGAGATAAGCTTTAAAATGAATGAGTTGATCTGTGGTGGTTCAAACTTTTGAATTCAAAGGGACAGGATTTCGATATCGATATTAATCGATTGCCTGAGAACGGGAAAAGTGATCGATTATCGGATATCGTATTGCGCGGGCAATACTAAAGGGCAGCCAGATAGACGGACATGGCTAGATTGACTCGGCTATTGATCTTTAAAAATTATTGAAAATGAATTTAAAAAAATGATTAAGGCAAAGTCGAATATACATTTATATATTTATATTGTAATTTATTAACATAAGAACGATTTTAATGTCACATGTACTTGTTATACTTTTTAAATAGTATATATATGTTTATTGTCCTGTATTTCATTTCTGAGTATTTCACTTGTTAGTTATTAAATATGTGTATATTCAAATATTTTTACAAATGTTTATAATAATATATGTTTAAATGTACATTATTGTAGTATTATTAAATAAACGGGAACCTATAAGGTATATATTATTATTGAAATAAGTTTCATATATAACAATTATCCATTATCTATAAATTACATAAATAATATGCTTATTTATCTGTCAACTGGGGCAATCATGTTTGTTTTTATTTTTACATTTAATATGACTTTTATTTTGATAATTGAATTTTTTTTTATGAATTCCCACAGCGAGTAGGCCTAAGCGCAAACAGATAAGACTTTTACAAAATAAATTGCATTTGCGTTTCAAACAAAATGCTTCGAAATTTCGCTTATATGGCTTAAACAAACTAACTAGTTACAACGAGACAACAAAATGGTTCGACTAAATTTTCAGATAAATGTTCCCTGATTTTTATGTCATATGTATTTCTGTTGCAATGCATATATATTCTCATGTATATTTATTACCAATTGATTGGCTTACTGTTGTTTATTAATTTAAATAAATGTTAAGTAAAACGGGTAACCGATTGCGCAATACTCTCTTCTCAGATCGGCTTATATAACCAGCTTAAATTAAAATTGATTTTCTTATGTGAGACATATTGGTATATGAGACATATTGGTTATATTGGTATTTGCTCATATAAGTGTAAATTGTTCTTTTCATAATTGTAAAATTAAATATAAACAAAAGAAAACCTTCAAGCTGAAACTAGGAAATATCAATTTGCCGGCGGGCATCTTCAGAGATCATCAGCAGTTAAACTAGAGCCTTAAGTCGTAGTTTAATGAAATTATTAAGTTAAATTAAAATAAAAATAAATGAAAGTTTTGTTGAACAGACAAATCGTTCACATAGACCAAAACGAACGATGACTGATAATCTGAGCACTTGGATCGTTTCTTCGAATTCGAAACATCTTCAGGTTTTGATAAAGTATTTTAAAGTCAAAGATTTTGCGTCCTTTTCATTTTATTTTGGATTCGCAAAAGATTCGAAATGCACAGACATTATTTTCACCATATTAAGTCCTAATGTTTACAAAAAGAGTCAGGAATTTACTTGGCAGTTTGCGGCATGCGTTCCTGTTTATTTGTGGTAGAAGCTAGAACGCCAACTGAGTTCAGGGCATATAATATTTGGGCAGTCCCCATAACTTGGCTTTACTTTAGCTTATGATGCATTAACACAGATACAAACACTCTCATTTGAGGCCAAGTACAACAACTTACTAAAACATGTCTGCGTGATTCATGTATTGCAGATATATTGTTTTTGTGGCGTGCATACAATTTGACCAGGCAAATAAACTAAATTGCCCAGCTACAAATTTATTGCTACTGCAATGAATCCGGTATCTGCGTGGTCAATATTTTGAAGGCACGCTTTTTGGTCTGTTTTTGTATATTAAATATACAAACAAGGTAGTTAGGTAAATTGGTACCTGAGTACCTGTTTGTATATTAAATATACAAACAAGGTAGTTAGGTAAATTGGTACCTGAGTACGTGCACGTCACACAGTCACACAGTCACAGAAGGAAAATAAAATAAATAAATAAAGGAACTCAAAAAGAAAGCCGAATACTTTTCTGATTAAGTTTAACGAACTTTAACAAAATGAACATAAACATATTTAAAATTGCAGGGTTTATTACTTTTTAATTAAGAATTTAATATAACATTTTATTCTATTCGTCAAAAATAGTTTCTTAGAAGTGCCTGGTGAAAATGTTTGAATTAAAAACTTTCAACATGTTCTCGCAAACATTTCAAAGTTTTCTCAATTGAGTCAATCAAACAAATTAGAGTACAAATTATTATTGTTGTTTGTTATATTAATAACAAAATATTTAGTTTATTAGGTCTTAAGCTTGGATGGTAAGCTCAAGTATTTCAAGTAATAGGTTTCCGCCAATATTTCACTGTTGCGGGCGGAATTAATTTGAAAAGATCTCAGTGAATTCAGCCCTATGTGATTAACAAATCGGTATTACCTGGCCCTGTCTCGGTCAACTGTTTTTACAGATCACAATCGAGGTGATTTTCCAAATCAGGAAATCAAAACCAAAAGCATTCTTTAAATATGTTTTTGAATAGGACTCAAATAAACTTTAGCCCATGCAACCTTTGACTCAGGATGGATTTTACACAATCTCTGAAAAATCAAAATTCGTTGCTTTGTGATGACAAACCAAACAATTGAAGCTACACAAATGTATTTGCACGGTAGAAAACTTGAGATATTTGGTGTGATGCAGACTGGCAATGATACAATTACTCGCAAGCAGGCTGGGTGATGCGCTGGAGTGAGAGAGGGGGGGAGGGGGGGGATTCAGTATCTGTGGTCGACCACATGCACTTTAGGGTATGCAACGGCACGTAGCAGGATGCGAGTAAATTATGCATGCAGCTTCAAGTGCAATAAAACAGAATTTAATGGGAATTTAATGTTGAAAACATTATCAGGCTCTCTGCATTTGCTAAAGTGTAGATGCGACAAACAAACGCGCTCAGCCCAGCAAATAAGTATGCGCTCGCATGGGATGTGTGGGCGTGGGGTTATGGGAGCGTGTGAGCATTTGACAATTGTCGAATCAGGCCATTTTTTGTAGGCTTGTGAGTCGCGTCTGCTGGATGCGGCTAACTTAAGCTCTGCTCTTTGCCGTTTTACCAGCTAAATTAGTGACACGGTCCCGAAGAGCATCGGCAAATGCATGAAATTCGTTAATGTATGCATGTGTGCATGCGTGCATGCTTGCATGCGTGCATGTGTCCGAGAGTACTACTGTGTGTGTATGCCTGTCGGTGATGCGTGTTGGGTATTATTCCGTGAACCCTTTCTCATGGGCATCGTGCGGCCACCAAGCCCAGCACTTGAAGGTTTTGCTCTTATCGCCCACTGTCCACGCAGAGACTCGATAAACAACACCAGGCCAGAACATGGCGAGACGGGTGTGGCACCCGCCGTCATTTGCACAAATGCGCATCATCATTTAGATTGTTCCGCTGGAGTCGAAATGCAACAATAGCATGAACCACATTGCTCGGACACTACACTCAAGCCTGCACACCCTCACTTTTACCACACACACGCAAACACACTCACACACACACTCTCTTTCTCTCTTGCACCCACGCAGCATCCAGTCTAGAACGGACCGGACCGGACATGGCCGAGACTCACCACGATTGCAGCAATTGGAAGCTGTCGCGTTTTGTTCATCTCTCCTGGTGACTGCAGTTGGGATTGCAATGCAACAGCAGCCACTTTGGCATTTTCAATAGCATGCATTTATGCAAATTCAATGCCAACTGCATCCCCGAACGCAGACTACTATGTCTATGCTGTGTACTGTGTATGTATGCATATGCATGAGTATGCATGTGTATGTATATTTATCTATATATTGAATGTATAGTGACATAATCTGTTTGTGTTGACCATGACACTGATATTCGGAATCATATTCAAAAAGCAAATGCGCATTCTTAAAACAATATTCTTTAATTTTTCATAGTTATGAAAAACCTTGGAATCAAAATCTTTATCAATTTCTAGAACTATTTGCACTTCAAACAATAATCGGGGTCGATAGAAATCTCTTAGGCAATATGTGTATTAGTATTTCATATTCAGCGGAGCCTCTGTTTTACTGAATTGGTCAATTGGACTTCTGTTTGATTGGAAACTGCAGCTCAAATCTAATTCATATGAATTTGAATAAACAGGTGAATTGTTTATTGTTTCGGGAACGCAATTCGGAAAAATTGAATCTGTCACCGACGAATTTTCGGAGCAATTTTCAAGCTAATCCCAAATTTCTACACGATCTACCAGATCGGACAAACGATATGTTATTTGATCAACGAGGATCCTTAGTTAACAAAAAAATACCCGTCTTATCCATATCGCTAGTCTGACTGTTATGTCTGAACGAGCTCATTTATGTTACGTCTATATTAAATCTGGGTATTTTAAGTTTAGATGTATATTGGCGTCAGTCCAAGTATTTTTCACGCACATTAGTGGGAAAGCCGTGAAAGACTAGTGTTGCAGGTTAGATCCTCCAATGACTTAACAAAAATATTGCGAACACGCCAACTCCAGCCCTGCACAAAAGCCATACTTAATAGTTCCTACTGGGATGTTACAGTTTTCGAATCAAGAATCTTAATTTAATACTGCGAAAAGAGTATTGCGCAACGGTTTTACTTATTTCTTGTGTGATATATAGATTTAGCCCAATAAAGTCCGGTTAATGGGAAAGCCTGAAAACAATATAGAGGAAATATATCAAGTCAATTGTTCTAATAGTTTCTGAGCTCAGCTCGTTTAAGCAGACGTACAGACAGGGTTTATATGGGATGATATATACCTTATTATTTTTAAATCATTTTCAGTGTTTGCCGGTTACGAAATAATGAATTTTGAACTATTGAATTTACCCCATTTTTAAGAATCTTAAATGAACATGTATATATATAAGTTATATTGTTTGTGAGATGTCGGCTTCTGCTCGCTTCATTCATTTCATTATGGTCTACTCATTAGTATGTACAGAGTATACAATTTTGGTACATTTCTCATTAGTTGTGCGTAACACCTCATTACTTATGTTCAATTTACTGAATTAATGTTGATTTCATTCATTAATATTAATTTATATTTTTAATTTTTTGTTTTTATAGGAAGACATTTTTGTATTGCATAATTCATTTTATAACTTTTGATTACTTTAATTATCTAATGTGAGCAAATAAGCTCAGTATAATGCCTTATATATAAAATTGTTCGTTAACATTCATTTTCTTGTTGTGTAAAATTATTGTGTTGTTTTTATTGTAAGCATGGGGTTTTGTTTCATTGTTATTGATTTCAATGGACTTTGAACTATTCTTAAAGGGGTCACATTATGTTTATGCATATAATGATATATATATATATATATATAAATTTTCTTATATGTATGCATTCATCAATATAATTTAAATAGCAACCATTTTTAATTATTTCGCGTCCATTATTATTATACAATACGTTTTCGCAATTTACCCAAATATTTTCCGTACAAACTATATACTAAAATAATTAGACAGGGCGAATCTCCCACATTATTCCAGCTGTATGCAAAAATGCATTTCGAGCTTTCCGTTTTGCTGTTTTTTTTTTTCATGCAATTCGCAACAAGTTAAAGCTTCGATCAACTGGCAACTCTTAGAGTTAATAGCAACTTTTGCTTATGATAAGATTTTGAAATTGATATACGAATAATCGGCTCCTATTTATGTATTAGATAAGAGGGGACCAGCTTACAAACTTTAGTTTAACACTAAAAGAGTTTACCAAAATAATAGATATGTATAATCGAAAAGAACATGAAATAAATATATTCTGTTATTTACTTATAAACAATTTTGATGAAAAATTGTATTCCTAATGTGAACAGTTTTAGTTATTTCAATTCAATTTTGATTTATCATTATTCTGACTAGATTAGATATTGTCTGAATTTTTCACTTGATGAGCTTAAAAAGCAAACATACATTTCTCGCAAAATATTAGAAGTAGACTATGAGCCCATGTTTTTATTATTATTTCAAAGTCATATTAGAAACTTTAATGAACTTTACTTCATGAAAAAAAAAATAGTTTTGAGCTCTTTTGCGTCTGCTTTTATTTAATGCAGTCTGAAATATATATTTGTGTTTCAGTTGGTTTCATATTTTGAGGTTAAATCATAAATATTAAATTTAATTAATTAAAAAAAAAACTTCTCAAAAAACGATATACATACATGTTTTATTATTACATATATATAGTTTAATATGTCTTATATGCAAGAACAAGCTTAAGCAAAACAATGAAGTATGCATATCATTTGTGATCAGATTTTTTTTTTGTTTTTTTTTTGCGAATATATTGAACTATTTTTGGTTCGTTATGTGCTTTACTTAATTTTGGCAATATAGTACTTAGCACTATTAAAATCTTACATGTGTACGTAGATAGGTTCATAAATGTGCTAGTGCAAGTAAAGTTTACCATTGCCGGCTATGAAATGACTAGACAATTGAAAACCTTTTGAAATCATCCAGCTCGAACTCCTCCTGTTTATGCTGCAAAGCCAATATTCTGCAGTGTTCGTATTGCGGCACGGTCTCTTTGCGCGGCCGCGTTTTTGTCTGGATGCCGCTTGTTACAGTCTGGCGTGGATTTCGTTGGAAGCATAATTTTAAATGAGCTTAACTAAATACATGGACAATATGCAAAAAAGAGCCACCAGGGCATTAGTCGTTATCGTGGCTGTGCCAAGCAGCTGTGACCCCGCACTTGGAAACATCCAAGGCGGACTAGGTGACGGTACCGCACCCGGCGACTTATATGTTTTTTCGTATCCGTTGCGTGCTGGAAGTTGCGTATGTACTGCAAAAACATGTTTAAGCCAAAGTTTTAGTGTTTAAAAGTGTTTTAACAATATTTTAGGGATTTGCTTGTCCCATGATTTTATATCTATATTTTAAGATACTGATATTCAGATATCAATCGGCCTTATACATGTTCTTATCGTCCAATAATACATAGAATTTAATCGAAATAATCGTATATTATTTTTAGCTATAGCTATAGTTATAAGCTTAGTTTGCAAGTAACTTTTGCAGTAGCTTGGCCTAAAACTATATATCTACGCCTGTTCAGTTTCAGTTGCCGCTGGTCAATTCCGCTTGAACACCGATGGGGGCGAGAATGGTGGGGGTTTGAACAAGGACAGAAACGAAATTGAAACTGACTGCCGGAAAATTAACTTCAAAAGAGATTTGGAAAGTACCGAGAGTTTTACCAAAATACAGTTTCACTGATAAATCAGTGCACTCGACAGCTGCACGAGTGCTAAGTCCTGGTGACTACTACAGTCGTTGAGCTGGCTAGAGAAATGGGTGGCAGTAAGTCCGTAGTCGTTGAAGGGGGTCACGTACTCTTGAAAGGGCTGCTGGGACTGCTACTGCAACTGCATGGGAGAACGAGTATGTTGCGGTTTGTTGTCCGTTGTACTTTTGGTTGCTAGTTTCGAAGGAAGCAAAGATCGAAGAAGTAAAGGCACCAAGCCGCCAAGAGTTTCTTAAAAGGGCAGCCCTGGTGCAGCGACATTATATTTGTCCAAGTCATGGTCCCTTGGTGTAGAAGTGCCCCATGGCTGGTGGCATCGGCATCGGCATCGCATGCTCATGCAAGCCGAGTATCCTGGTCCGGTAGATGTGGATGTGGATGTGAACGTGAATGTGGATGTGAGTGTTTGTAACTGCCGCTTATGCCTGACTTCATTCTATGCTTGCTCTATGCAGCAGCATGTATTTGTGGAATTTTCTAAATCGTAACTTACCTTCCGCTCCGTTTATCATGCCGTTGACGTTTCCACTTGCCACAATACCACCGGCACCACCGCCGTTGGCGCTCTGGGGCACACCAATCCCGCTGCCGAATACATCGTTCTCTTGCTGCATTTGATTTGAGAAATGGGTTTCCTTAGCACGCACCACTTCGTTCAGTCCCTTGTTGTGGCTGGGCGGCTGCTGCTTCCGACGCGGCTTGGCCGTAGTATAAACGTGAGGTGTTGCTGTCGTTGTGGACTTGGGCGGTAATCGTAATTCTGCAAGAAATTGCACCAATTATGAAATGCCGAATGCCTCTATGCATGGCTAGAGCGGAAGAGGGTAAGGGCAAAGCAAAACAAATGGGGTGGCAGACAATCCTTAAAAATAAACACTGGCCCAACAACAATTGCAAATACAAACCACCTACTGCTGGGGCTTTAACATTGTTCTATCGCTTTTATACCCTGTACTCATGGAAAATGCCTTATTAACGGCATCATGTTTTAATGCAATTGTGTGTCTAGCAGGCTTAAAGAGCCTGTGACAACAAATTATTTAATGGGTATCCCATTTCCATCACAGTTCAAAGAAAAGCCCCGACTCTGAGTCTATTAAAATCTAGATATCTAAATTTTAAAAACCTTTAGTTTTCGGTTTCAAGATATTTTTCACTCTCTCCATCGAATCCCTGTGAACTAATTATAAGCTCGGAATACTACGAAATTAACTATATTAGAAACCATAAGCATATGTAAAACTTATTGACATTTAACCACAATTGTTTCTTTAGTGAATCCTTTAAGTGAAAATTAAAATTGCGCCCACCAGCTGAATGCAGCCCTGGTGGCAATGCGAACAGAGAAAGTTTTCCGCTGATTGTGCAATAATTCATGCTTAGTTTTAGTGCTCCAACTCCAGTTTAGGTTGGCGAACGGAGACTGAGAATGTGGGCGGGGCCGACTGCGCAGATGAAAGATAGAGAAATGCTTCAGTCGTCTTTAAATGAGATCGATAAAAATAATAGACCGACGAAAATCCTAGGTGATTTATTGCACGGAAACTGAACGAATTACACATGCGATGAAGACGCACACACACACACACACACACACACACACACACACACGCACACACACACACCCACAAATACACGCACCCGTTCATTCTCAACTAAATTGATGGTTTCGAATTGTTCGAACTACTTGGCTTAGCCTGGGACCACGGCCGAGTTGCTAAAGCAAAAACAAACTGCATGTGGACAGCATTCAACTTGATATTAGCTTCATTTTATCTTACCTTGCAGTCGAATTCGCGTCTCACTCTTCCCAAGGGCATTCACACTGGAACAGCTGTAAGCGCCAAAGTCAGCCTTTGTCAGGTGTCGTATCGTCAAATTGAGGTGCCACGTGTACAGGTTAATCATGGCCTCGGATATGTTGTACTTGTTGCTATTATGCAGCTTAACATTACCTACAAGTTAAGGATATCATATTAATTAGAAATCATGCAGGCGAAATTGTTTGTATACTTCGCGCTAGCTTCGGAAATGTACAGAGCCACAAACACGCCTCCACCCTTTACCACACACAGTATATATTCACTTAATATTACAAACAAAATGTAAGAGCTTAATGTCCACACAGATCATACCCCGTTTCTTACACACAGAGCATTTAAAACATAAAACATTTTATGCCTTCATTCCCCTTGTTGCGGTTCAATAAAAGAAAACAAGTAACGCTGGAAGCTAGCTATGAAAATCATTATTGCTCTTGCTGCTGATATTTTCATTCAAATAAATTGTTTCGCTTCGCTTTAGCAAGAGAAACAAGAGTGCTCCAGTCGGGAGTGCACGACTTGGCGATACCCTAAACTTGGATAAATTCCTAACACAGCTCTGTAAGCTCACATTTTGAATAGGAAAATGCACTTGTGAACTTTCTTATCTATTTAATGAGACTCGGAATTTATTTAGTCTTATTAAAAATAAATTGAAAAAAAAAAAGAATTCCCTCTGCCAACATTTACCAGAAGTTGGAGTTTTCCAATTGGCACGTGACTTTTAAAAACTTCTATGAAAAAAACCGCCGCAACCCCTATATATACATATATATATAGTACGTGTATTTATAATGAATTTAAATATTATAATTATTGTTACCTTCATTACGGTACCAGCCATTAAGCGGCTTCGGATAAACTTCCACTATGCATTCCAATATAACTTCTCGTTCAACCGGCGCTCCTACTAACTGATTAACAGCTTTAATAGTTGGCGGAACTGAAAATGAAAAATGAAAAATTTTTTGTGAATATATTGTTAAACAAGAGGGTTGAAGTTGACGTTGACCGACTAGAAAATATCCTTAACTAAACCAACTCAAGACGTCCTTGCTGACAGATAGACATACACATAATATTTATTTAGATTATATTTTGATTTATTTATATGTTTAGATTATAACTTCTATTTATACGCAGAATCCACAGTATGAACCTCTCCATCTCAGAACACATCAGAATTACTGACTTGAAATTTTAAACGTAGTTCTCAGGGTCCTTGTTTCAAATCATTAATAATTTGTTGCTAGCTAAAAAAATCTTCTGTACCCGCAGTCAATAATATATTTTGGATTTCAACACAATCATTTAAATTCTTCGAATCATAATCCCAGAAAGTTAATGCAGGTACTTATGATGCATTTATGCAAAACACACACAAATCGATGTGCGGCTAATTGCGTAACAAATGCCAATGCCACACAATTGAAAATTGAATGTTAATGGTAATAATAATGAATTCAATGATTTATGTTAAACATTCAAAAAATTAAAAGGGCATACTTATTAAGCGTATGTGTGTGTGTATGTAGCTAATCGCAAATGAGATTATTGAAAATTTTTGGGTAGATACGAGAGCCTAGCACCGAGTTTTCCACTGTATTTAAAAGTCAAGCATTCAAAATCGAATTTTATTGTTATTTCAGAAATGGGAGAAATGATTAGATATGTGGGAGAGCCAACTTGACGCCGAATTTTAATAGGCTTTCAGTGATACTTCAGGAAATATATTTTGGAAACGGGACAAGATAAATCTAAATTAATTCAATTGAGCATTTTATTGCATGAATGAATAATGAATAACTCTGCGTATGTATAGAAGAAAGAGTATCTGCTAGTCGAGCTCTCACAGTTCTTTAGGTTGTAATTAAAATGCTTAAAAATAAATGGATTTTATAAATCGAATAGCTAAAACGAAAGCAAAATTAGTTCGTATTAAAATTGATGCCTATATGCTTTAATTTGGATTAAACAATATTAGATGATTCAATCCAATTTCCATAAAACTAGCATCAAATGCATTTATATGTCGGTACATTAAAATGATACATTTTATATGTTTACTCTTTGTACTTTTCCCGGCAGAATACACTGGCATGGGGTAAGCCAAAGAAGAAGCGCGGGTGTGCTTTGGTCGGGTGCGTGAGTCGCAGGCTAAGTCTGCGGAAAATGGTTGGGTGGTGTTTTCATAGGATTACTCTCTGCTAGTTGTATGGGTGCCACCCGAGTGTGTGTGTGTGTGTGTGTGTGTGTTAGTGTGTGTGGGAAAGAGAATGACAACTGTAATGTTCTGTTTCAATGTAGCAAAAGCTCTTGCTATTTTTCCTTTCGCTGGATGGTGTTTTGCTATCGGGGCTTGTGTTGTTGTTGTTGCTGAAGGATAATTTTAAGCCATAAATAAAATGGATTAAAGCCCACTGATCCGCTCATCAAAAAAGATTTCACCCTTTGTAGCACTAAGACATTATTAAAGATTTTCTTCAAAATCGATAATAACAGCCCTTTCTACAGTGAATTTACGTTAGTTTAGTTTGCAATTTTTGTTTTAGCTTTTACTTTCACATAGTGAAAATACTAAGGGACTCAAAAAAAAGTCAGCTTTATCGCCACATACGAAATACGCAATATATACTTATAAGAAAAGTATGAACGCTTCAGTTTTTCACATATATTTTCTTTTTTATTGGTTTTCTCGCTACGATTCCAACTTCAATTCAGTTGGGTGCTCACTTGGCGCTAGTCCGCGCAACAACAAAAACACTGAAAAATTTCAGGCGCTAGACTTGGAAAAGGGTTGAAAACGACATTATTATTATTCGATTATCATTCGATATTTGGCTTTTTTTGATATATCTTGAAGTGCCAGAACTACAGCAATGCTTATTCTACAGATGATAAGACAGGAGAGCATTTACTGATTTATACAACGAATTCTAGACACCCTCTACAATTGAAAATTGGAGGTATGGTTTGACGCATTTAAATATTGTACATATCGAATATGTCAACCTGTACGAGTGTCTTTCGCTGTTTCTTTTGCAACTTGAAAATTATTAAATAAATGCTAAGTTTAATCAAAACAAAGCTTTATTTTTGATTGATCGTTTTTTATGGCAGCTATATGATACAGGGGTCCAATCCAGTTCTGACATATATACATATATCCGACATATATATAAAATTGTATGACGATAGCTTTAAAACTGGGAGACTAGTTCGCATAGAAACAGACAGACGAACAGACGGACTGGGCTCTTGCTACTGACTGAGAATATGTATACTTAATGGGTTCAGAGTTAACTTCTTCTGTGTGTTGCACATTTCAAGACAAAGTTATAATACCCTCTGCAAGGGTATAAAGAGGAATAAATGGGGAGCATAAGCTGTTCTCTGGCTGCTATATTTGCATATTTTTGAATATGATGCTTAAATTGAAATCCTTATTTGTTTAATATCAATACTAAAATGGTTCTAATTTAAACAACAATTCTTTACTGTGTGGTCATTAAAATGTATAAAGCAGACAATGCATCAGCAGTTGGGCCTCTGTATGCTAGTTGAAATTCGGAGCTGTATTTTCCTGTGCTTGACATAGACACATTGCCCAAAATTGTAGTTTTATTTCGCTGCACTGCCGGATTGCCCAGTCTCTCACAATTATGGAGTTGTTATTTTCAAATGTTTACTACTGGCTCATACTAGCACAAGGATCCGTTGTAGGGCACAGTGTGTGTGTACATACGTGAGCACTGTTATATGTAAATGTATGTACTTCAAATGGCTTGCATGCACATACATATATGCACGTATGCATATACATATAATTTCTATAACACATTCTCGCTTCTGCATACACATACGCACACATATGAAGTAAACAGAATAATAGCTCATGACAATAGTTCAATGTGTGCTGCCCGCAGTCTTGCCAATGCAGCTAAATTTGGCTAAATTTTCAGTTGCCGGAGGTTTTGGCTATTTTTAAAAAGATTTCTTAAGCAATTTTATAATATCTAAAAATCCACTCGTACAAAACAAAATCTAACTGGACACAAACAGGACAAGTTATGTTTTGTATGATTTGCCAAAATAAGCAAGTGAACCTTTCCGGCTGTTTCTAAGCATACTGCTGAAATGAAGGCAACGCCTTGCCTTGGATACTTCTTGCTAATTTATTTCAGCTTCTTGTATACATTAGGCCAGACATTTAGCCACATTTTTGAGCTGAGAGTTGGCAGCACTGGCTGCCAGCCTCATTGCTGCACTTCACGTTACGAGTAGTTATTACAATAGGACGCACATACTGTTTCTTGTAGTTATGTACATTTGATACGCCCTGCTTGAAACACGAAGTGCGACTATCGCAACTTTCAACAACTGGTACTCTCTCTGATTTTGACTTGACAATCTCATGGTGTTGATTTGTGTCTAGTGCCACACCAACAGCATGTTTAAGGATCTGGAACGGTCGCTATAAAAGAGAATTGCATAGCAAAACTTTCTTGTTTCAGCCAAAGTCACACACAAATCTTAAATATTTTAACACACATTTTTACGTAAGGCAAAGCAAAAGGTTTCAAAGCCAAAACAAAAGCCCTAAACCGAAGATATCTGTCAGATACATTCAGCCAAAGCCAAAACGAAGGCGTTGACAGTCGAAATTCCGCATGTATCCAAGCATTTGCATATGTGATCCTACACTTGATGCACCTTTCACCAGGTTCCATCCATCTTCCTATCAAATAATATACATTAAATACAACAAGAAAGTTGCATTCGGTTTTCCGAAGATAAAATACCCTCTGCACGATTTGTGATATATTTCTAAAGTTAAAGTTGAAACGTAGTTATTATACGAAAAGTACATCTGGCTTTTCTGCAAGCTTTATGACATTGAGATTTTTTGATCAAATAATATTTATTAATTTCTTTAAGAACATTTTTCTCTGTGAAGAAATCTTAATATTTGTCTATTAAGCCCCAGATAGTGGCGGGGGAAAGTCGGCAAGATCTATTCTTTCTATGGTTTTAGAGCTTCAGTGACTAAATAAAAAATCGGAAAAATTCGAAAATCGATAACTTATCGATTTGGCGAATACCCTAGGAGTATAAGGCAGTCGGACGCAACAAACATTCTTACATATTGTTTTGTATATTTTACCAAGATCTCTTTCATTTGTAACTTGAATCTTTGTTAAGCTATCTTTACGCAAAATAAAAAATATTTATTTTTAAATATATAAAGAATTGTTAGGAACTTACAATTTACGTGAACATCAAAACGTTTGCTTACTGAAGGTGGGACACCATTAGATGCTATGCAAAGGTAGCCGCCCATATCGGAACGGTGAACATTTGTGAGAGTCAGTCGCTCGCCTTCCACCGACTTGAATGCTGAAATAACAAGAGAGTTGTAAGGGTGTATTATTAAAGTACCTAAATTGATTTTTGTTACTTAATATATTACTAATAATATAATACTAATATTTACAGTATATGAGTACATACATACAGTTGTGCTTCTTAGCTATCTGTCTGTTCAGTAATATCGACTTATTTCTGATAGCAGATTATCTAAGAAGCCATATGATGTTAAGATATTAAGATATGCACCTTGCTTGTCTCTACTCTCCGATCTTATTATAATGTCCTTTCCGCCTTCGCGTCGCCACTGGACCATAGGTTCTGGTACACCTATTTGTTAATATAATAAGTGAGAAAGTGTCAATGGATAATTTTTAAAAAAAGGCTGCTTCAACGTAAATTTCGGCATTTATTCTGGTTGGTATATAATAATATATATGTACTTTATGGGTCTCGTCTTAAGGCTGAAAGTTTAGACGAAACAAAAGTTCTTGCATGTGTACGTATTGGTGTTTTTGTTGTTTTAATAAAATCTTTAATTTAAAAATTAAAAAAAAAATGTGAATACCTGTCGCACTGCACTGAAGCGCAATACTCCCACCTTCTGTGCTAACACCTTCATCAATATTTTCGTCGGGATGGTAGAGAATGTCCGGTGGAACAACGACATCTAAATAGCCAGACTGTAAAAAGACAATGCATATTATTCTGATTAGAAATATTTGATCATATATTGAATAAAACAAGAGACAGCCAACCAACTGAATTGGCCTACAATATCGATATTTCCGATTAATTAAGCGACCAAAAACTGTAAAACACGGTAACAATAAGTTTCTCTTTTGCTTACATTCCAAGTCTGAAGTCTATAAGTTCTGATATCGTCAAGTATATAAATACGGACAGACGGAGTCGGGAACGCTTCCTGTTACAAACATTTGCTCAAATTCATTTTATTCTTTTTTATTAATTTTCAATGGGTTCGAGTTTTTAATATATGTTGTTTGATTTTGAATTTGATCTAAGAGTGTTAAATAGCGGGAAATTGTTTTGTTGTATCAATATTTAATAACGAAAACCTTGAAACTAAAGGCAAGGCTGGCCCTCAACACTATTTTGCAACGTGGCCCGCACATTTTCGACCCAGTGCCTACCTGTGGCAAAGCCTTAGTTTAGGGCTCACACATAAGCTCGGACTGAGACGCATATGGCGATAAGATTACCGAGTCTGCCAAACACCTAACGTTTGGAAATTGAATGGATGACCGCTGCTGGGTCAGGGGCAGTGCTGTGGTTGACTTACCAGACTTTTCATGGGATCTGTATTCACTTGACACATGTAGCTGCCAGAATCATTTAGCTGCACGTGGGATATGTGAAGTTTCCAGGTGTTGTGTCCATTGTGTGTCACTGATAATCTTGGATTTAGGGATACCATATGTGTATGTATACCAAGTATTGCTTTTGAATCTGATTTAATCCATGCCACCTGAAATTGCCAAAGCAAAGGGAGACACACCATCGTTGGTCAGCCTTATAAGTTTATTTCTGCCAAGTTTGCCAACAACCTCCCCCCATAAACTTGCTTGCATTCACATGCACAGACATACATACAGACATACATAGCACAATACTCTGCCCCATGTGGGCCTTAACATATTTAATTGTATACTTACGCAGAAGTACATGCGAATTACATAAAATATATTTGTATAGATGGGCAACGCGACCAAGTTTGCGCAAATGCGGTTTAATGGCTTATGGAGTAAACCAGGCTGACTTGCAAGAAAGTTACCATTGCTATTTCATAAGCCGGGCTTTTGTAAATGGGCTGCTCTTTTTATACCCTATGACCATTAGGAATGAACACACAAAGTATCTTAGTACTTCTTGCTCTTTTAATCTAAGCCGCGATACGGCGCTGATATTGGTCTTACTCAAATAACTCTCTTTTATGGTATATAAAGTCGGAGTTTGCCAAATCGGATCACTATTTCGAAATTTTAGCCCAAAATGTTTTATGCTAAACAAATCCCTACGAGATATGCTGTTCTTCTAACAAATTAGTTAAATCTTGGAAATAATATTTTTGAATAGCATCCTTTTCGCAGGACCTCAGATAATCTTTCTTTTTCAATTTGCCTAGCGTAATTGGGAGCAGAGCTAAATGCGAGAAACACAACAATTCTTTAAGTTGGCAAACCTTCATCTCGATTATTTCAAATAAAATAATTTTGAAATTAGGTTTCGTTGAAACAAATTTTTTCGGTTTTTTGTGTATATCAATGCAAAAATTCTTTCTTTTGGCATTGCGATAAGTGCAGAGTATTTATGAACAGGCAAAATATCAATTCGGTAAAAAATTACAATTTTCGTTTGTAGTTAATATAATTTTTAATAAATTTAATTGTTCATTTGAATAAGTTGGGAAAATGTGGTGAAGCAATTGTGAAAAAGGCAGAATTTTATTTTCGATATATTGTTTTTTTTTTTTACAAGAATGGTAAAATTAAATCAAAACGCGTTTAATCAAAGTTATAATGTATTAGAAGAAGCTAACTCTAACTTAGGTTTGTCAGATTGTAAATACAATATTTTAAAGATGCCTCTCAGCTTGTTAAACAAAGTGCCTTCAACATTGAATCAATGGATCCCATGAAATTATGTAAGGTTCTGTGTCTGCATCAAACGTTTTAAATAAGTAGTAACATACCCGATATTGTCCCAGGTTGTCGACAACACAGGTGAATGATATGTCACGTCCTTGTGGTACGGTAATATTTGTTAGTTGTGCCAAAAAGTGCGGTCCCACTTCATCAGGTTCGCTCTGACCTTTTATTTCAGATGAAATACAATGAAAAATATATAAGTTTAAGTAAATGGTGCACAAATTAGTATGTGAGCACAGGTATACAGGTGTGACTTTTATAATTAAACATCCTTTTAATAGCATAGTAATAAAGAATATAAAGAAAGGAAAAGTGTAATAAGCAAATGTAAAAAGCACCACATGCTTATTTATACTCACTAACAAAGGGAGCACAAGATGTGAGAATTATACGAAAAAGAATTAAAAAGAGCTAAGTGTGCTTTAGTGGGGAGTGCCAAGCTTGGAGATTCCCTAGACCAAGCGAATAATTAGGGAAATGATTTATAGCTACGATAATTCAACTTATAAATATATACAATATACCAAAACATGGTATTAAGTGCAGGTATTAAAAGCAGGATTTAGGATGTCCATTCTAATTGATTTCATCGAAACGGGGAAACTTTGTCGATGGTATTTCCCACATAGGCAGGCACTAGAAGTTCTGAAGTTTTAAAGGTTTTGAGTTCACAAATGTTCAGACGGACAGGCAGACGGACATGGCCGAATCAACTCGGCTGGGCTTGGAGATGCCCAAGAGCATTTTATTTTCGAAATCCATTTTCCAAAAGAGTTCAAAAAAATATATATCTATGCTTACTAGTTTTTTAACCTATGTAAAAATAAGAATGCAACACGTATTATTATTACAAATTCTTGAGTAGGGCCTTAAAAATAGTTAGGATGCCAATCAGATGAAGCTTAAGACTTTTCCCAAAAAGAGCAGACTTCATTACAAAATGAAGAATAATATTTATGCCAATGGCCCGCACTTACCTTGTATATTTGATAACGAATGACTTCCTTCTGTGCACAATAATCCGGTGAGTAACAAAAGTATGACGGAGGCTAGGGTCCTCACGCAGAATTGTGTCTGAGTCATTGGGGCAGTCTTCATTTTATTCTCAGGCTTCTGATCGTCAAAGGATCTTCAGGTACTTCCAATAACTTACTATTTTATAAAATTTTAATAAAAATCTCGCTATTCGAGCTGATCCCTTGCTGGTGATATTCGTTTACTTATTCCATAGAAGCATTTCCATTGCCAAGTATTGTCTTTGTTAACAATTCATCACTTAAAGTACATTCCAAACAAATTATTCTGAAAAGCAACAAGATAAATAGTTGTATTTGATTAAATATGCATTTCCTGATGCTGTCCTAGTTTATATCTATTCTGACTGTCAACGAGAAAGTTTGATTACCTTCTGATCGTCGCAGATTCAATATTAACTCAGCTGTTTGTGCTGATCTAGAATATATTTACAAGAAACGCCTCCTTTTATGCGTCAAGACCAAATTATAATACCCTCTACAAGGGAATACAAATGTAGCTCTAATATAAGTATAAGGCCATCCGACAAAATGAATAGTGAAAGGAAGCGTTAAAGTGAAATATTCTGAAAGATTAAAATGCAATCTGACTCCACAGTTGCATTCTAACACAAACTAAAAACCTTAATGGCGATATATAAAGTGACTGTATCAGAATGGAAATGACTGGATTAGTGTAATATTTTTGTGCAGAGTAGATTGGAAGCTTAAACAACTAGGAGGATGAATGAGCTCTCCAACTTCACTGACCGTATAGTGCTTCTTAGAAGGGAGACTCCACGAAAAGTATTAATTTTTCGTCAGACAGTCAGACAGCTAATGAGGCTTCTTCATCCCGCATACTCAAATGCAGTGGCTTAGCTAGCGGCAGCCGCAAGCAAGTCTCAATTCACGAAATTACAATCGTTGGGTTGCTAGTCCATTAAGGAATAACAAAATCGCTTCCATTTGGCGGAGGAGTGCGTTAGGACTGGATCAGCAATGCCTTAGTCCCTTGTATTAACGGGTGTCAGATACTTAATAGCACTAGTCTCTCGACTAGCTTGCACAAGCGGAGCATTCGCCGAATGGAATGAAATGAATATATAAAATATGATCATTATTATGAACAGAGATGTTCGCATACCAAAGCTCATCAAAAGCCATTCCTATTGTATGGTAAAAGGATTCCATATACAATAAAATTTGTTTATATTATTCAACCATAATATACATTGCCTTAAGAGCTTCGGTCGGGCTTACATATTCTAGTATATTTATATGCTGCGCGCTGTTAATGCAATAATTATCTTTATTTGTAAAGCTATTTTCTCAACCGAAAGGCATAAAGCGAAAGGGCAAAAGGCAACCAAAGTTAAAACCAAATTCCTGTTGTGGAATGCGTCGCGCAATTCACTTTGCCAAGCGGAATTTCTTTACCAAAATTTCAAGTTGTGTACAAAAATGTGTAAAGTGGTGGAATAATACATCTAATTCAAGAAGGATGGGCTGTGCTCACAATTAAAGAAACAATATTCTTAAATATTTAAGAATAATACAACTTTAAACATGTTTCATATTTGTTATGCGCCGTCCATTCGCTGGTCTAGCCTAAGGACCCATAAATACTAAAGTTGGCATCAATTTTCTCGCTCTAAAGTTGTTGCGATTTTAAGCGGATAGTTGGCTGCATTATGATAAAAGTTGATGAAAACAACCTAAAAGTAAGCATATCTTTGGCACGCCAAAGATTTAAAACCGTTGTGAATAGTGCAGCTTTTCATCATTTCAAGAAAACAATGCAAAAATGCAAAAAAGTGTTGCCCGACTAGCAAATGCCCTACACTTTCTTCACACTAACACTTAACTAACATTCATAAAACTAATTTTAAGGAAAAGTTAGTTCCTTCAGCCAAGCAAACTAAACTCCAAGAAGGAAAACCTTATCGAAAAAAAAAGAAATTGATTTAAAAAAACAGAGTATATAAAAAACAGCACATCAGACAATACAATCACAATTAAAAAACTATGCTTCGTAACCAATTGGCGATCTTTTTGTGCTATCGAATCAAGGGAACAATTATTCAAGGGTACAATTATTTAAGGGTACAACTATTCATCTCTTTTTTATATATTTTATATTTTTTAAATCAAATAAGATTTTAGCGGTAACGTTTCAGGCCAACAGATCATTAAGCAGATGGGGCACGAGTTCGAACCCAGCAGAGGGCACTCATTTATTTTTATATGGTAGTCGTATCGCTATCGTTTATGATAATAGGATCTCAAAGAAGCATAAAGATGATGTAGTTTATCTGAAATGTGTTTCAAGTTCATAAGTATTTCCAGACAATTTGTGTCTGAAATGAATCTATGGTAATAAATAAGCCATATTGGGAATACGCATCAAAATTGTCGGCTCTAAGTTTTACAAACGATTCATTACATAAAAACATGGCCTTAAATATTTGTTAACACGTGAAAGACATAAGAGTACAAATAAAAAGAAAACATAAGTTATGCTCGAAAAATATAACTAATTTAAAAATAAAAGATTGAAAGATGATATGCCTATGCAAATATATAACAAGGCCTCTCAGATCTAATAATATAATATAATTTTGCATTAAGAATTGTGGTTAAGTACTACAATTTTTCTTTTTAATTTTTTCTTGTATATATTTTTAGCATGGAGCATATGTTATGTTTAATTGGTACCCGTATGTCATTCACATGTTAACAAATATTTAAAGACACGTTTGCATATAATGAATCGCTTGTAAAAATCAGAGCCATCAATTTTGGTGCGAATCCGGATGCTTGTGCGTAATGGTCATTCATTAATTCACAATTAATCGCTCAGATGGAGAGAGAGAGAGAGAGAGAGAGAGAGAGAGAGATAGAGAGAAAGAGAGAGAGGAAGAGAGTGTGTTAAAATAAGGAAAAATATTCAGTTGGAATTTTTAATTCTCAACGATTTCAATCAAAGGATTTTGCAAATGACCAACCCATCTGCTTGTCGGCTGCTTGTTGGTGAAGCAATGCGATTGCATAAAATGCTTTAACCACATTTTATGTTTGCTTTTGCACACTCCGAACATCAGGCCTCGACCACACTGCCACTGCCCCCCAACCCAGCTCCGTTTGTTACTTCTGTGACATCATTGCCATCACCATAAAGTGCCTGCTGATCCATTTATTCATATTCAGTTTCAGCTAAAATCACACGAGTCTGCTGCAAACCATGTGCAATTTAAAGGGGTATACCCGAAAAGTAGTCGTCTCTAGCCATGAGTATGGTTAGCAATGGCCCAATGCAGAGTCAATGCTTACACTTATGTATGTAAGTATGTACATACATGGTGCATTCAGTTGGACATTACGCATGTGGATTTGCATGAACGGATTGCTGGTTCGGCCACTAAGAGATACATTTACAGATACAGATACATATACAGATATGTATATATGTATAGGTTGTGCTGGTGTTGGTGCCGGATCCGGATGCGGAATTTCGAAATTGTGCACTGTCGGGTAATTCGAAATTCCATTCGCCACAATTTTTAATCAGAAGTAACTGGTGTGGTCGAGCATTTCCGACGGCCTAAAATAAAAATTCAAATAAAAAGATTTGCGTCTGAAATCTCATTAAAAACAATTCCGTTTGTGAAAACAAACAAATAAAAACAAGTGAACGAGCAAGCAAGCAAGCAAGCAAGTAAACGCACAGAAACATGGACATATCCATCCACACGCATGGACGACGAGCGCAATGCTTGCGCTCAAGCGTAATCCCTACAGTTGTAGCACCCGGACTACCAATACCATCTGATGGCCCAGATCCTCCGCTCCGCTCTCCTCCCTCCGTTGGCAGCCACTGCCAACTGGCAACTGCTACTGCCTTGAACTTGTCAGTTCGTTCATCCAACTGATGCTTTGGTGGGCAGGCGACCAGCTTGGCATCAGCGTGCTGCTCCTGTTTGTCCATTTGATGACGAAGAGCTACCATCAATTTGCAACACTGCCACTGCCACCGCTTAGCTCCCGCCCAGGCGGCACTCGTGCTTCGCTGTTCGCCTGGCCGCTGCCCACTTCCCGCCGCCCCCACTTTGAGTGTAAACACATAATCCATTTAAATTGTTTGTGGTTTTTCTTATTGTTTGTTTCCCTTCTTGTTTTCATTGTAGCTGCCGTTTTCGCTGCTGTCGCTGTCATTGCCGGGCAAGCTATGCGAAGGCAAATCAGGCTCATGTTCGAGGCCTACCCATTGCCTGCTTTGCCACTAGATAAAGAGAAAAGCGTTTTTTAAAAAAACCTATTATTATTTTTTTTTGTTTGAAGCTGTGACATTTGCTGTACTCAAAATAATGTGCATTACCATCAGTCTTTGGCTGGACCTTGTTTGATTCCAACCGTGGGAAAATTAACGTATATCCGTACTAGTTTGAACCCCATTTCCACATAGAGAAAATGTAGAAATTTCTATTTTAAATGCTAACAAATTATTTTAAATTTATGAATACAAGCAAACTACTGCAATCAACATATTTTTGCATATCTCCTTGCAGTTTTGTGGATCATTTCAAATGTATTCTACTTATAATTATTTATTCAACTTTCGACCATACTGTACTTCTAGTACTATTATTAATCATTTATACTATTTTGCAAACTAATATAATATCTTTTTAAAGCCTTGTTATAAATCTGTGATAAAATCTGTAGCGAATGGAACAAGACATGAAAAGTATATATATTCTGGACCAGCATCAACAGTCGAGTCTATATAGCAATGTCTGTCTGTTTCTGGGTAAACTATTCTCTCAGTCTTAAAACCAGAAGTAAATATTTCGGACCTGGCCGGATCGGACTACTATAATCAATCAATGTTTGAGCTTCACTATTCTTACTTATCTGCTTAAGCTTAAGGCAAAATGTCTACTAGAGTATCGAATCTTCGGCTTGCCCCAGACGTCCTTATTTTCTCTTCTTAGCACGCCGCATTGTTTTTTGCTTGTTTGCTAATTTGGCTTCAGATTAATATAAATGAAATGGACCCAGAACCCATTCAAAATAGGTTATGTGGATATTATGGGTTTGCACAAATGTATGAACCGACCAAAACCTCTCCAAATCCATAAACTATATATATTCTTGGCCAACATTAGTAGCCCAGTCGAGCAAGGTCGTATGTGTCAACACATCGATCTCAGAACCATTTTTAAGATCTAGAGACTAGAGAAATGTTGAACGTAGTTCCAAGCCCGACCCGCTTCTATGTAAATCGAT